GATCTTGATCTTCCCCTCCTTTGTAAAGTTAGAGGAGGTCAGATATCTCCCCCATGCCAAGACACAAAGTCTCTTGAGGGTGATGAATGGATTCCTCTAACCCAGGGGTTCCCACTCAAGGTGATTTTGTCTCCAGGGAATAGGAGGCAATGTCTGGGGACATTTGTGGTTGTCATGACTGGGGGGCTACGAATGGCACGGAGTGAGTGGAGGCCAGGGATGCTGCTCAATACCATATAGTACACTTGACAACCCTCCACCCAGAGAAGGATCCAGCCCTAAATGTTCACAGTGCAGCTGTTAAAAAACCCTACCCTAAAGACACCAAACACAGGTCCCAGGCAGCAGCAAAGACCCCCCAGATATTTACTGAATGTGGGTCTCCAGAGCCAGTGTAGCCCAGAGAGGAAGAGGGGGCATAAGAGGTATTGCCCCTTCCCTGGTTCGTTTCCTGCCCCACACCTAGCCGAGAGAACACACCGCCCACACCACTAAGCCAACAAGGAATTCTGGATGGGGCAGCCAGTCAAGAAGCCCAGGTGCTGTGGGAGCGTATCAGGGGCCTCACCCCCGCCCTGGTCCTCTGTGGAAGGGAGAGTTAAAGGCTGAGTGGTGGTCGAAACCAATGGAACAACCTGTAGGAAGGCCTGAAGCATGTCTTCTAAGGAAAGCCAGTGTGGCTGAGGTCAGAGAAGTTGGCAAAATTCAGGGGGGTCTGTACCATGTAGACCTGTTCTGTAAGGGACCAGAAAATTTAGGCTTTGCAGGCCACATCCAGTCCCTTCCCTGTCTCAAAACTATTTTTAGCTCATGGACTGTGCAAAAACAGGTGGGCTGCAGTCTGCCAGGCACTGGTGTGGACAGTGATGAAGGGTTTGAACTCGGGGCAGGGTGGAGTCCTGGGAAGGGGAGAGGAAGGTTGGGGAGTAGAATATACTAGCTAAGAGTGTGGCAGCCACAGGCTAACAGCTTGTGCTTGGACCCCACCTCTGCCACCTAGTAGCTGTGGAATCACAGCAAGAAGATTACCGTCTCTCAGGTGGGAGCGATACCGACCACAGCGTCTAGAACTACCTGTGACTCTTGGGAGGGATAATATCTGGCCCTGTGAATGCCTCCAGCAATCAGTGACCAGTTACCATGGCATGGGCTCCAACTCATGGTGACCCCATGTGTGTCAAAGAAGAGAAGAGCTGGGCTGCATAGGGTCTGTGAATAGTTGACTGTTTGGGAAGTAGAGCTCTAGGCAGGAGCCCTGGTGGCACATTAGTTAAAGCACTAGATTGCCAACTGAAGGACTGGCAGTTTGAACCCACCAGCTGCTCTGTTGGAGAAAGATGTGGCAGTCTGCTTCCATGAAGATTTACAGCCTCACTGTAAATACCATTACATACAAAATCCTGCAATAACAAACAATAACTAGAGAGTGGAGACATAAGTAGATGTGCAAGCTGAACAGGTGTGGGATGGGCTATGGGAGTACACCCATGAGTATATATAAGTTTGGCACAAGGTATTTCTACATACATACTTGTATGTGCTGTAAACATATCCATGTACATAGCAGAACTTACAGAGGGTAAAGTCCTGAAAACTTCTTGTTTTTGTATTGTTATGTGCCGTCGAGTCAGACCTGACTCATAGCGACCCCTCCTTGGGTTTCTCAGGTAGTATCACTACGAAGTAGATTGCCCAAACTTCCTTCCAAGGAGTGGCTGGTGGGTTTGAACCACCAGCCTTCTGGTTAGCAGTCAAATGCCTGAGGCACTACACTACCAGAGCTCCTTAGCCATAACCAAACACCTTCAGAGGATGAGTCACTGGGCTTGGGAGCTTAGGACCACAGTCTCAGGAGACATCTAGGTCAACTGGCACGACATAGTCCACAAAGACAATGTTCTACATTCTACTCTGGTGAGTAGCAACTGGGAACTTCAGAGCTTGTGAGAGGTCATCTAAGATGTAACTAGAGGTCTCTTTCCATCTGGAGCAAGAGTGAAGAAAATCAAAGACTCAAGGAAACAATTAGGCCACAGGACTAGTGGACCACATGAACCACAGCCTCAGCTAGCCTGAGATCAGAAGGAACTAGGTGGTGCCCAGCTACCACTACTGACCATTCTGATTAGGAACAGAGAAGGTCCTAAACAAAATGGGAGAAAAATGTAGACCAAACTTCAAAATCATAAACAAACACCTGACTTACTTTTGATAAGACTAGTGAAACTCACAAGACTATGGCCCTTAACATCCTTCAAACCTGGAACTGAAGCCACCCCCGGGGATCACCTTTCAGCCAAACAACATATAGGCCTGTGAAGCAAACAATAACACCCACAAGGAACATATTCCTAAGAAAAATTAACCAGATGAGACCAAAAGGGCAGCATTTACCCATGAACAAAGCTCAGAGGGCAGGAAAGAAGGACAAATGGAAACCGGGAACTCAGGAAAGAAATGGGAAGAATGCTGTTACACTGATTGGATTACAACTAATGTCATGAAACAAAGTATACATAAAGTGTTACAAAGAAAACAAATTTACTCTGTATACTTTCAGCCAAACCACAATAAAAATGTTTTTTTTTTTTAAAAAAGATTTATAGCCTTATAAACTGGGGCAGTTCTATAGTGTCCAAAGGGTAGCTGTAAATCAGAATGAACTTAATGGCAACAGGTTTGGGTGTTTTGGGTGTAGCTCACCAGGTATTTCTTCCAAGGTACCTCTGGGCACATTCGAATCTCCAACCTTTCGGTCGGCAGCCAAGCCTATGAGCCATTTGCATTACCCAGGGGCTCTAAACACTCAGTGGCAACTGGTTTTTCAAGTGACAGCCATTATTATTTCAGGCTATAATCTCTTAGCCAAAAACCCTTGGGGCCCTGGATGTTTCAGATTTCCTTTGATTTTAGAAAGCTAATGTGTCACGCCTACCATACATTACGTGACATCCAGGGGGCTGAGTTAGCACCCTGAAATCAAGCAGATGATTCTCAGCACAGCAATGTGGGCCTATATGCACCAAGGTTCCCCAATCTCAGCACTACTGACATGGGCTGGATTGTTCTCGGGGTGAGAGCATCCTGTGCACTGCATTGTAGGGTGTTAAGCAGCATCCCTGGCCTCCATCCACTTGATGCTAGTAGTGCTCCCCAGTCGTGACAACCAAGAATGTCTCCTGACATTACGCAGTGTCCCCTGGGCCACAGGCGGGCGGGGAAGCACAATCACCCCAATTGAGAACCACTGATATACGCTAAGTGGTAAAAAGAACAGCTCTAAGTCAATTCAGGAGCCCTGGTGGCACAACGGTTAAGCACTTGGCCACTAACCGATAGGTCAACAGTTCAAACCTACTAGTCATTCCACAGGACAAAGAGATAGTGATCTACTCCCATAAAGATCACAGCCCACAAAACCCTACGGGTTCTCTGTCATATGGGGTCACCATAAGTCAGAATTGACTCAACAGCTCCCCAACAACAAGAACAAGTCAATACAAATGAATTTTCTGGCCAAATGACTTTGCTGCAAACTTAGGGAAAACTCTTTAGGGTGCAGAGTATTTGGGGTTTCAGAACTGTAGACAAGGGACTGTGGATCTATAAAACCAAACTCACTGCCACTGAGTCCATTCCAACTCCTAGCAATCCTTTAGGACAGAGTAGAACTGCCCCATGGGATTTCCAAAGGTGTCAATCTTTACAGAAGCAGACTGCTGAATCTTTCTCCCACAGAGCAGCTGGTGGGTTCAAACCACCAACCTTTTGGCTAACAGCCAAATGCTTTAACCACTGTGCCACTAGATCTATATAGGATCTATGTTAAAGGTGGTAGCAAAGATAGTTTCAGGGTCTCAGGAAAGATGAGGATGTGTGTGAGCTGTAACTGGCAAGAAAAACATCCCAGAGGACATGGGATTAAAAGAAGCTGAGCACCTCCATTCATTCAATAAATGGTCACAGACTGACATCCAAGAACAGGTCTCTGAGCTGAAGACCTGGCAACAAACAAGGTAGACAATATTCCTACCTTCCTGAATACCCTACTTCTCATTAGCATCATCGGAGCAATCTGTTAAGAGTAAGAGCAGAGGATGGAATGGACAAGGGTGTAGGAGGGGAAGAAAAAATTCAAGGATACTAGCAAGAAGGCAAGATGGTGCAGGACCAGGCAGTGTTTCATTGCATCATATGTAGAGTGCTATGGGTTGTAATTGACTTGACTGCACCTAACAGCAATCAAAGCAGTAGTCTCTGAGTGAAGCAAACAGCTAAGCACTCAAGTACTAGTTAAAACATTCTCAGTTCAAAACCACCCAGGGATGTCTCAGAAGAAAGGCCAGGCAATCTGCTTCTGTAAAGTCACAAGGCACCACACAACAACTTGGGTGACTTCCCAACATAAATCAGGTCACTGTCACTCCCTTAATGAAAACCACCACCACCACGCCCATGGCCTTAAGGCTCTGTGAGCTTAACAAACATGGTCTACTCAAACTGACTTCTTGTTCTCCAAACAGGTTACTGTTGTTCCCACATCCAGGCCCGTGCCCACACCCCCCACTAAATCCTGGCAGAGTAGTTCTCCTCATTTAACTCTAGGCTCAAAAGTCACTTCCTCCAGGAAGCCCTCCATGACCACCACCTGCCCTGCCAGACTCCATAATACTGCCACGTGGAGTTTTATTTGCTCCCTTGTTTACCATCTGCCTCCGAGCTAGAACTCTGAAAGTACAAGGACCGGGTCTGTGACCCCAGGGTCCACTCCCGGCCTGGGCCGTTCTTGGAATCAAGTTTGCGGAATGAATGAAGCGCTGGGACATTCGGCAAATGAGAGCGCGGAGATCTCGGGCTCACATTTCGCCCTGGCCCAGGGTCACTCTAGGGTCACTGGGCTCAGGTCTAACGCCAAATCGCTACCGCCGGAGGCCCGAGGGTCTAGGGGGCACCCGGGGGAAGGGGAAGGGGAATTGCGTTTGCCGAAGGGCGGCTGATACCTGCGGGGGGCTTCATGGCGGGCGGGTTTGAGCCGGGGGCTCCCTAGCTTCTCCTCGTGCGCGTTGAGTTCCCTCGGAAGCCGCCGCGGACACCTCGGTTCGCTCAGTCGCCACGGAACTCCGCAGACCGAGGCGCCCGCCGCCCGCCACGCGCAGGGCATCCTGGGAGGGTGCGTGCGCGCGGAGGGCGGTACACTGATGCAAGCCCGAACTCCGCCCACACCTCCTGGCAGCAGGCACTACGAGGACTGGTGCAATGAAAACGCCACCACCCTCCCGGCCTCGTCATTCGCTTTCAAGGGTGAGAGGGGCGGAGCCTCGGCTTCCACCTCCAGAGCCACAGTGGCGTGTCCGTGGAAACTGCATGCCAGGCTGGCACCTCTGAGCACCTGTTGGTGAACCTTTTTGGCGTTTCTAGCTCCAATATTTTTTTTTCTCTTTTTAATAATTTATCTTATTTTTGTTGTTAACTTTAGTAACACACAGGAGAACACACACCAATTCAACAATTTCTCCGTGTACAATTAAAGGACTGACGAGCTAGATTGCCTAAGAAAGATTGGGTAGTGAGTGATACCGCCTCAGAAACCCAAGGGGGAGGTCGCTATAAGTCCAATCAGACTCCACGGCAATGACTTCGGTTTATGTGTGTGTGTGTGTGTGTGTGTATGCATATTTATGTATGTATGTGTACATATACAAATTTTCTTGTGAAAACATACACAAGACATTCGTCAACATAATTCCCCATTTACAGCTCAGGGACATAGATGACATTTTTCATGTTGTGCCATCATTATTGCTAACCTTTCTCAAAATATTCCTCCACCTATTAGCATAAACTCAATGCCCAGCAAACAAAAGCTTCCCCTCTTCCCCTCCGTCGTACCCCGATAAAAAACAAAAATCAAACTCACTGCCATTCAGTCAAATCCAACTCATAGTGATCCCTCCTTGGGTTTCCGAGGCAATATCACTACAGAAATAGATTGCCCAACTTTCCTTCCTAGGAGTAGCAGGTGGGTTTGAACCGCCAGCCTTCTGGTTAGCAGTCAAATGCCTTAGGCACTATGCCACTAGAGCTGCAGTTTCTCTGAATATATATATATATATATAACTTTTTTTTTTTTTTCAGCTTATCTAGGAATTTTCCCTTCCCACTCCTCCCATTCTTGGTAACCAACAAAGAGTTTCCTTCCATGTACAAACCATCCCTTGATTTTTTATGATAGTGGACTAATACAATATTTGTCCTTCTGTGATTGACTTATTTCACTCAGTATAATGTCTTTTTTTTTTTTTAATGTCCTCCAAGATCATCCACATTATGCAATGTTTTTCAGATTCTACATTATTCTTTACGGTGGTATTCCATTGTGTATATGTACCACAGTTTGGTTATCCATTCCTCCATTGATGGACATTCAGGTTGTTTCCATCTCTTTGCTAGTGTGAATAGTGCTGTGACAAACATGTCATGCTTCAAGCTGTGCAGCCATTTTCACCCTCCTCTGAATTGTTCCTCCACCATTAACATAAATTCACTCTCCCAAAAGCTACCTGTCTACTTTTTTGAGTTGCTGCTGTCAATTTGATCCCATATAGATAGTTTTTTAAAAGCCTAGGTCAGTATTAATTTGTGATTGCCTCCTTCCTAGCTAAGAAGCCATGGCGGTGCAGTGGTTATTGGCTATTAACTGAAAGTTCAGCGGTTTGAACCCACCAGTCACTCTGTGGGAGAAAGACGTGGCAACCTCCTTCTGTAAAGAGTTGTTGTTGTTGTTGTTAGGTGCCATCAAGTAGGTTCCAAGTCATAGCAACCCCATGTACAACAGAACGAAACACTGCCCAGTCCTGCCCCATCCTCACAATCACTTCCTTTTTTTTTTTTTTAATTTTATTTTGATTTGGGTGAAGATTTACAGAGTAAATTCACTTTTCATACAGCGGTTCACATAATATACTCTGTCTCATGTCATTGACCAAAATTTACAATACAACAGCTCCCCTCCCACTTCCTCCCCATAGTTACCTCCTCCCAGTGTCCATCCCTCCATACTCTTCTGCGCCCTGAGCTGTCTCCCTGTGCATAAGCAGCCCTTCCTTCTCCCATGGTTGTTCTCTCCAAGGCGTGTGTCTACTTGAAGTAAATGTTTAATTCACATGCCTGTACTTTGTTTGGCTGGAAACCACAGGTGTGGCTTCTCACAATCACTTCTTGAGATCACTGTCGCAACTGCTGCATCAGTCCATCCTGTTGAGGGTCTTCCTTTTTCTCGCTGACCCTCTACCAAGGATGATGTCCTTCTCCAGGGACTGGTTCCTTCTGATCACATGACCAAGGTACAAAAGATGATGTCGCTTCTAAAAAGCATTCTGGCTGAACTTCTCCCAAGACAGACTTGTTTGTTCTTCTGACAGTCCATGGTATATGTTTTGATTACCTAGTGCCACTCTAACATAAATACCACAAATGGGATGGCTTTAACAAACGGGTTTATTCTCTGACAGTTTAGGAGGCTAGAAGTCTGAATTCAAAGTGCCGACCTCTAGGGGCTGGGTGAAGGCCCCTCGACCTTGAGCTTCAGCTCTGCCCCTTGCCCCTGGCCCAATGAAGCTGGAAGCTTCTCTTAGATCAGGCAACTGCTGGCTGCTGAAGCTGACAAATCCAAAATTGACAAATACAATGGCACAATCCCAAGATTACCAAACTACACAGCAGGCCACTAGTTCAAATCCAGAGATGGTCTCAAGATCAGCAGGAACATGGCAGGCTGCTGAAGGAACACTTGGCTACATGCTGGGTCCAAGCATGCCAAAAGCTGTAGACCATTCTCAAAGCTCCTCCTTATATACTGGAAGCAAACCACATCCCTAAATTAGCTACTCAACTGCTCACGGCAGATTCCACCATGAAGTTGGCTGCCTGTCTCATCATGGAGAATAACTACAATGAGCTGTCCAGCCACTCAAAACCAGGACTAGCCAAGTTGACACACAACTTTAACTACCACAGTATTATGTATTCAATATTCTTTGCCAACACCATAACTCAAAGGCATCAACTTGATGCCTTTGATCTTCCTTACCCATTGTCCAGGTTTCACACACATATTAAGCAATAAAAAATACTATAGTTTGGGTCAGGCCCACCTTCATCCTCAAAGTGACATCTTTGCTCTCTAATCCTTTAAAGAAGTTTTTTGCCACAACACATCATTTGATTTCTTGACCTGCTGCTTCCATGGGTATTTATAGTGGTGGTGTTGTTGTTTGCCGTCCAGTCGGCCCTGACTCATAGCGACCCCTCCTTGGGTTTCCGAGGCAGTATCACTACAGAAGTAGGATTGCCCAAACTTCCTTCCGAGGAGTGGCTGGTGCGTTTGAACCGCCAGCCTTCTGGTTAGCAGTCAAGTGCCTTAGGAAGTATGCTACCAGAGCTCCTATTGATAATGGAGTCAAGGAAAATGAAATCCTTGACAACTTCAGCCTTTTCTCTGTGTAGCATGATTATTGGTCCAGTTGTGAGGATTTTTGTTTTCTTGATGTTGAGGTGTAATCCACACTGAAGGCTGTATTCTTTGATCTTCATCAGTAAGTGCTTCAAGTATTCCTCACTTTCAGCAAGCAAGCCTGCATCATCTGCATATTGCAGGCTGTTAATGTGACTTCCCCTAATCCTGATACCGCGTCCTTCATATAGGCCAGCCTTCCATATTATTTGCTCAGCATACAGATTGAGTAAGTATGGTGCAAAAATACAACCCTGACACACACCTTTGCTAATTTTAAACCACAAAGTATCACCTTGCTCTGTTCATACACTGACTCTGGGTTACTGATTTTACTATTTTACAGTTGGTCTTCCCAATACAAAATAATTGTTTGTTGTTGTTGTTATATGCCATCAAGTCGGACCCGACTCATAGCGACCCCTCCTTGGGTTTCCGAGGCAGTATCACTGCGGAAGTAGATTGCCCCATCTTCCTTCCGAGGAGTGGCTGGTGGGTTTGAACCGCCAGCCTTCTGGTTAGCAGTCAAGTGCCTTAGCCACTATGCTACCAATACAAAATAATTAGAGGAGATAATTCCCTGGTAGTAGGTTCGCAGTATTTGTTAAATGAACACAAGGATCTGCTATCTCTATATTCCTTTACATCTTACATAATTCTTTACATCTTCTTTGAGTAAATCAAAGAATTCATTTGTGGGTAAACGGGTGGAGAAATAAACGAACAAAGACAGTAGACAACAGTTTTCCCATTCATACAGCGCCCGTGTAGTTCCGGGCAGGCACCCAAACGCAGCTGCACTACCAGGCCGTCTTGGCACCACGTGGCCGGCGTAGCAAACGCGGTAGGCTAGGCTGTCCTTCTGGAGTCCCCCATCGTCCCACAATGCACCGCTCTCTCCCGGTTGTAAAGGGCAAGTCCTGAAATGCGTCTTCATTCGGTCAGAGAGGTCAGTTGCCCTAACGACCATCTTGAGCCCGCCTCCATTTCCGTCACTTCCGACCACGCCCAGCTCTAACATTGACGCACCTGCGCAGGATGAACGCCACTAGGCGTGGGCCCCTTCCGCGCAGGCGTCGCGGCTGAGGGGCGGGGCCCGGGTGGCGCCGCGGTGCGCAGGCGCAGCCGTCGGTGGGTCGGGGCTTGGCGGCTTCAGAGGTGAGTGGGGGGGTTACTCCGCGCCGAACCAGGCTGACCTGGCGTCTTGGGCTCGAGGTTTCCGGGGCTCCTTAGCCTCGGGGCCTGGAACGAGACGGAGATCTGGGGCCAGAGTCGCCGCATCCCGCGAAGTCTGCGAGTGGGCGGTACAAAGGGTAAACTGAGGCAGGGCAGCGTGAGGGCGACTCTGGCTGTGGTTTTCTGGCTTCCTCGAACCCACTGCCTAGCAATGCTGATTTGCAGGCCCAGGGCGAGGACGAGGGGCGTATTGGTCCGTGGATGAGGGTTCGCTGCTGTTAGCGTCTCCATTACCTGTCCGGAAACGCGGTCCGTTTGAATCGGGGACCTCTTGGTACACACTCAAGTCGA